TTATACTGTAGATGACTACTGCAAATAGTCAGTATTGTTACAATGAATTATTTATGACCCCTTCTGGTTATTGGTGGCTATTTTTATATATTTTTCCTTTGGAATGCCTCACATGTATGCTGCGGTCTAAAATAGATCCATACCACAGAACATGGGAGGCCTGTATGAACCATCTCAAACCTGGCATCTCTTATTTTACAAGATGTCCTTAACATACATACATACATACATACATATAATTCTGTGTGTCTGTATTTATTGATTAAAAGAGAATAAATCAGTCAGTTGTTCCAGTCATTTCATTATCTACTGCATACCAACTCCACGCCATATTCCAGTGGTGAGGCATGATCGTGTGATTTCCATTGGCCGCTTGAATTGAACAATGCATTCCAAATCATCAAGAGTTTCTACAGCATGTCAGGGCATCTGTCTATGATTCAAGACTCAAAAGAGGCTGGCTTTTGCTAAGTAACAAAATGCAGGCAGGAGTAAATCAACAACAGAGTGGCTCAAAGACAACAAAATGTGTAGTTTCTGAGTTCAAGAAAGAGCCAAACAAGCAAAGCATCTAGACAAAAATATAGACAAACCAAATAATAACTCAATCTTCACAAAACATCCCTACAAATGTAGCAGACCAACTGTGTAATAAAAAAAAAACAGCTAGACGGAATGCCAAGACCAGATACAGTATTTTATGAATATACTTTGTTCCCTTCAGATTTATTTTTACAACGTTGCCTAATACGTATTAAAATTGTTTTATACCAGGCTACCCATCTCCACACCAGCCTCCTTATCCCATGCCCCAGCTGGGCGGTCACTCCATGCCCCCCTATCCCATGGGAGGTTATGGAGAACCTGGACAGGCGGCCCCACCTGCAGGGTTCCAAGTAGGATACCAGCCAGTTCCAGATCAGCCAGTCATGTATCAGCCTGGTCCAGTTAGTCCAGCATCTCACCATGGCCAGCCGTATGGAGGTAAGCATGTCTAAATTTAGTCTTAATTTACAAAAAATATTGGTAAGTAAATGGTGAACAATAGGTAAGTGGGCAAAGTGACCACACAGACCAAAGATGAAAGAAAGATTCTAAAAGATTTGTTCTAATGATCATTAATACTATAAAATCAATGCAAAAGGAGTATGAGTGTTGTTGCATAATGCATGCTGACTAATGATGGTGTGCCTAATGAACTTCCTCACAACCTTCTCTAGCACCTGTAGCTGCACCAGTCTCAGTGCCTGCTGGAGTACCACCTGGTCTGGAGTACCTCACTCAGGTTGGCCATGTCATTTAGTACATTCAAAGTCAGATAGCCAAAAAGTTCATATTTACAAGTTGAATGCACATGAACACCACCGCAAAGTCGTGAGTGTGAGGGGAAACTTTGGATGGTAAATTTGCCTGTACTTTAAAAAAAAAAAAAAAATTTATTCACAATAAAACTAGCTAAGTTGCATTTACAAAATATGATGAGTGTACAAACATTATATAAATAACATTTCAGTTTACAGCACCTTCATAAATTGAGTATAAACATTGCTGTATGTTTTGTAGAAATGTGATCAGAGAATCTCTGATTTGAACACACCTGACGTCGTAATTACGACTTCCCAAGTTGTTAATATGAACTTCCCAGGAAGAGTTGAACGCCCTAGTTCTCTCTGACATTTACTTTACTTATTAGTGTGCCTATAAGTCTTGTTACTAGTGTACTCTTTTCATTTCAGATTGATCAGATCCTTATTCATCAGAAAGTGGAGTTGTTAGAGGGTGAGTTGTCTTCTGTATTATGTGTATGCGGTTGAAGCTGTTTACTGTATCATTTGAGTGCATTAAAGCAAAGCTTGTCTGCTACGTTTTGTGTGTTATCTTTATTTTAAGCCTGAGACTACTTTTTTGCTACTTTTACTTTAATTCAGACACTCAAAGACTTTAATAAACTCCAAGAAATTAGCCCCAATGTTGGAAAAATAAATTTCTATCAATTTTCCAACCGATGGGACCAGATTGTTTTTACCCACTGCAGAATAGGTCATTCCAGGATGTCACAAGTTTTTAATACTAGACGATCCTCTAACATGTTCTCTCTGCCAAAAGCCTTTATCCCTGAAGCATGTTTTATTAGATGCTGGTGCTGGTTTTAACACTGTGAGAGAACTTTTTTTTTATTCAGTTAACTCTTTTGAAGAGATTTTTAACAGAGTTAAGCCAAATACAGTTTTTAGCGAAAATAAATAGTAAAAACCTGATATAGTTTAGCCATAATTTTTTCTTGCCATGAAAATAGCCACAGAAGCTGGCATGGCATTAAACACGAGCAAACACTCAAAGACTCCTAGTTTAATTTCTCTGCATACTTTTTGGTCCTATACAGCAATCATTGGCTTTGAGACCAACAACCAGTATGAGATCAAGAATAGCCTCGGTCAAAAGATTTATTCTGCCAAAGAAAAAAATGACTGCTGCACACGCAACTGCTGTGGAGCCCTGCGCAGCTTTGACATGAAGATCAAAGACAATGCCGATCGAGAGGTCATACGACTGATCCGACCTTTCCGCTGTGTCTCCTGTTGGTGCCCCTGCTGCCTGCAAGAGGTATAATGGACAAGTCATATCAAAGCTTTGCATTTAATTATGTTAGTTACGTGAAGTCTTGTTGGTTTTCAGTTAGTGACTCTTCTAAAGCTGTGGTTCTCAATTCCAGTCCTGGTGACCCACTACTCTGCACATTTTGTATGTCTCTCTTATCTAATGCACTCAGTTCAGTTCATGGATCTCTCTCCCAATGAGCTGATGATCTGAATCACTGATTCAGAATCAGGTGTGTTAAATGAGGGAGAAATGCAAAATGTGCAGAGCAGGGGGTCCCCACCCCAGGACTGGAATTGAGAACCAGTGATCTAAAGAACATGTTGTGTGACCTACTACTGACATGAACGTGTGTGAAGAGTTATAAATGGCATAGAGTCAGTATGGACATAGGACTCTATGCCACTCTGTCTTTGCATTATGATGCATTAAATTGATCAAAAGAAACCATAAAAACATTTATAATGTAACAAAAGACTTCTATTTTAAATAAATGCTGTTCTTTTGAACTTTCTATTCATAAAAGAATCCTGAAAAAATGTATCATGGTTTCCAAAAAACATTAAGCAGCACAACTGTTCACACAACATTTAATAATAAGAAAAGTTTCTTGAGCACCAAATCAGCATATTAGGATGATTTCTGAAGGATCGTGTGACACCGAAAGCTGGAGTAATCGCTGCTAGAAATTCAGCTTACATCACAGGAATAAATTATATTTTAATTTATTCCACTGAACAGTAATTTATTCCTTTTGAACATTTGTCTATGTATGCACGCATAGCTGCTAGCTTACAAATCAATTTGAGCATTGCTGTGTATTTCTAATTCACTATGACAATAAATGTCTATATTTCGTCTTCAGATGGAGGTACAGGCCCCCCCGGGAACGACTGTAGGGTATGTGAAGCAGGACTGGCACCCCTGTTATCCGAAATTCTCCATCCAGGGGCCAGACAAGGAGACTGTGATGAAGCTCGAGGGGCCCTGCTTGGCATGTAACTGCTGTAGTGACGTGAACTTCGAGGTGACTTTTTAGAATTGGATTGAAAGTGATTGTTGTTGACATGTTGTTGCCTTGTTAATATACAAATTCGAAGGTAAACATTATACTGAAGCCAAGCAAAATCATTTTGAAATTGGTAGGTTTCTAACCATAAATTTGTATTTCTTTCTTTAGCTCAAAGGCAAAGACGGTACTGGGAAGCCTATCGGTCAAATTAGTAAGCAGTGGAGCGGCCTGTTAAAGGAAGTCTTTACTGACACTGACAACTTTGGCATCCAGTTTCCAGTGGACATGGATGTGAAGATGAAGGCTGTACTTATGGGCGCTTGCTTCCTTATTGTGAGTATTAAGCTAATGACACGTTTAATGATCCACAATAGTCTTCTAACCATTATGCAACCACAACCTATAAATACATAAATTCTCTCTTGGATATAAATGTGTAGTCGGTAGAATGTCTGTTGGAGGATCATAAAAATAAAGTGTTATAGCACTTAAAATAAACCAGACATTAAGCAGACAGTCTGCTAATACTCTAATAACTGGTAGTTGAAATGTAGTTGCAAAGTTACTTATAGTTAGTAGAATGTCTAAAGTGAACTATCGAATTAAAATGTTATTAAATATTGTAATACAACAGAAATCGCATGCACTAGAACATATTCTTCCCCACAAGATTCTGTTCTGACTCTGTTCTTTGTTCTCTTTTTCTTTTCATAGGATTTCATGTTCTTTGAAAAAGTTGGAGACACAAACCAGCGTAATACTGTATTCTCTTAGAGCTCCTGCTAAGTTACTTGTTAAGTGACATATTTTCAACTAACTCGCATCATCTTTCAAGTCTTTTTTTTTTAAACCGATGAAATTCTCACATTCTGTGGACACTGTCTGAGTCTGGACTTTCTTTATTTCCTGCCTTTTCTTAGGTAACCAAAGCCATATACAGCTGGCACTGCAGTGAAACCAAGGGACATGTTCAAGGTCATTTTATAGTGTTCATGTGACCAGCAATATTTACAATGACAGGCGAGGTATCATGAGTAACTGTTCACTGGTGCCTTTTAAACAATCACAGCCTACAATAATTACAAATTACTTGTTACAATAGTACAAGCAACTAACATTTATATGTTTTTGTTACTTTAAACTTTTCTTTTTTTATTAGAAATAAACTGTAACATGCAACGTTATGTTTTTCTAGACTTATCTCATACATAAAGTATATTTTTTTCAGTCTTTTAGAAGGAAATTCAGTTTTATTGTGCTCAACGCAAAGCATTTTAGTTAAAACAGTGGTTCTTAATTCCAGTCCTCGAGTAACACCGCTCTGCACATTTTGTATACATCTCTTATCACTTCAGACGTTTGTTGTATTCGACCGTAAGTGCCCTGCGAAATGGACATCACCGGATATTCCGCCATGGTTCTAGTTCGAAGGGAGCGTATGTTCCATTCAAAGGGCATTAAAGTATGCAAGACGTAAATTTAAATCGTATTTTTTCAAAGAGGTATATTATGTCACACTTCACACTCCTCTAGTAAGTTTCGTCTCTGTGTGAAGACGCTGCAGGCCGTGGTGTAGCGCAAATCCGTGAATGAATGTTCCGAAGTGAAGTAAACTTCAACGGATTTCCCTTGCTCAGGGAGTACGGACCAATGAACACTGTGTAGGGACCATGTCAATCGGACCACAGTTCATGTATGGAGCTCTCTTTTTTTTTTTTTACGAGCTGGTCTTAATCAGGAGTGTTAAATAAGAGAGACATGCAAAATATGCAGAGCGGTGGTACGCAAGGACTGGAATTGAGAACCACCGAGTTAAAACATACGGATGTTCGTGCAGCCAAGTAATGCACGATGGTGGGGGTTGCATGCAAGTTACTGACTGACAACAGGTTAAAAAAAAGGAAAAAACAAGCAAGTAGTTGCATGGTTTTCTGTGTGTATAGACCAGTGACATAATATGGGTTTAATGCCAATTTGTTACTTGTGTATATATCTTTTTTATTTTTATTTTTGGTCCGTGTGTGAAGAAAGTGTCCTACAGGGGGCGCTTGTCAGCTTATAAAAGCCAGCCTCTCATTTAGGCACTCTTAAAGGGGTCATATGATGCGATTTCAAGTTTTCCTTTCTCTTTGGAGTGTTACAAGCTGATTGTGCATAGATAAGATCCCTGAAGTTGCAAAGACTGTTACATTTATTTTGAAAGATGAAGCTCGTGATTATGGTAAGGAGCGTTACATTTCCGACGCGTACTTGTGGTGTTTGGCCAATCACAATGCACTGGGTCAGTTGGCCAATCAGAGCAGACTGCGCTTGTCGGAAAACTAGGCGTTTGAGAGAGGCGGGGCATATAGGACCTACAATCATGTACAGTATTTGAAAAATAATGTGTTTTTTGAACATTAAAGCATGTCAACATATTCTGTTACACCAAATACACAAAATAATGATCTTTAAAAAAGCATCATATGGCCCCTTTAATTCTTAGGATGGTGTTAATTATTGAATATTTGCCAATTAAATCCATGAGTATCATGGAAATTCAGGAAACATTTTCAAAAAGTCCTATGGATAGACTTTAATATCCCTGTCCTCATAAAAAAATTATACGTCTGTTGTAACATACCACATGACAATTTTTTTCTGGTTGGTTGGTTATATAGAGACTGGCCTAGTATCAATAAGAGAATATATATATATCATTATAAAAAATATACAGACTGAGGAGTGTTCAAACTTTTTTGTTTTATGTATGTTTTGGTCACTATGTATTTTAAACTTTGATATAAATTTCCCGCATTTATACACCGCAAATTAAAGTTGTTCTCTATCACTAACAGGGTGAATTCTAACAATAATAGAAAAAAATAGAGATCAATTTAAATTGTGTACACATTCATTTTGTTAGTTAAATTCAATATCCCAGTTGCTAATTACTAAACTGACCGTGTTCTCGGATCTACCCACACTGTAAAAAAAAATCCATAATTTATGGTAGCTGTGGTTGCCGGAATTTTACAGTTAAAAAAATACGGTAGCAACATTTTAGGTTTTACGGTTTTAACTTAAATTTAGAATTATATTTTTCACTTCCAAAAACGGTATACTACTGTAAAATTACATGTAATGTCCAATACAGTTTTTCACCGTATATAGTAGGGGAATTTACCGTTAACCATTTAACAGGTTTTTACTGTAGCATTTTTACAGTCTTTTACCATTAAATTCACGGTCATTTTTTACAGTGCATGCTTAATCAATATATATATATATATACTTGCATATGTGTCTTCTTGTGTATGTGTTTGTTTATGCAATATTAGTATAACATGCATAATAAATGTATAATATTCTGTTGGTGGTTTGTGTGATTATTTTACTGCATCTATTGTTGCAAAACCCCTAATATGTAGCCAAATGAAGGACTTCAGATGTAGACTTAAGCTAAAATAACCATCATTTGCAATTTTACAGTGCTTAAAGAACAATAAGATCAATAATGTCTGTCACTCTTTTTAAGCAAAATAAGGAAAGGTGCATTAACTTAAAATGTACACTCAAATGGCTTGCCTTAATACACACACATGCAGATTAGTATTTACAATAGACATTTCAACAACCCAGGTTTTTTTTCTGGTTAATTTGAACATAATTCACATTAAATCATGCTTGGAAATTTAACAATAGCTAACTGATGTCAACAAGATGCACTTGTTTCTGTTTATCTACAACGGCTTTCCCGGGTTCATATTTCACAGGATTATCACAAAAACATTAGATAAATCATTAAGTCATTTTTGGGGTATCCAATATGACCAAAATCAATTTAGATCAGATCAAGATTTTACAGCAACACTTTATATAACATTATATAATAAATTACATCAAAATAAGACATGCAGACAGACTGACAGACATTAAAATTGTGGTGCTTTGTAGGTATGTTAAAGTCTCATGGGTCACATTTTTTTCTGCTACATAGTGAGGTATGTGTAATATGATCTTTTAAAAAAAGTGGTACACCTTTCTCAGGTTGTTAATTTAAAT